CACACACACACACACACACACACACACACCCATGTTATGTAATACAGGAGTCATTAGCCACAGTAGCTGAGTACTTAAAATGTGGCTAATCCCAAATGAGATGTGATTTACGTATAAAATACACACCAGACTTTGAAGACTTAGTACAAAACATTGTAAACCATTCTATGAATAATTCTATATATTAATTACATATTGCAATAACAATATTCTGAACATATTTCAGTTAAATAAATATATTACTAGAATTAATTTGACCTGTTTCTTTTTACTTTTTAATGTGGCTACTGGAAAATTTTTAATTAAGTATATGGCTCACATATTTCTATTTGGCAATTGCTGGTCAACACTGAAGGTGCTGTGAAGGGTCTTTGTGTCATTTACCAATGTACTCTCACCCTACCCCCTCAGCAAGCATAGCACCTGACTAACAGTAAGTAAACAATAAATAAATATTAATAAACAATTAATAAATATTTGTTGAGTTAATGACGTCTCTAAATTTGTCTGTACATATGTTTCTGAATCTCTATGTTGGAGATAGTGGTTCTATTTACAACACAAGAAGGTTAGGATAGTAACATCATCAAGAAATTTATTACTTTCTTTGCAAAGTAAAATTATGATATGAATATGACTCCTTTTGCTGAAAAACCTGAAATTAATTTTGAACCTTAGGCAATCACTCGTATTTTGAAATATGTTAATAAGTTATTGGGTTGTCGGAAAAGTCATGACGCATTTTTGCAATGAAAAACATAGAAAAATACGTCATGACTTCTCCAATAACCCAATATTTGAATTATAATATAAATGTAATAAACTAAATGTTGAAAGAGTTGGAGAATGAACAATATTGGGGGGAAAATAACTGTAGAAAGAACCCAAGGAAAGCTGAAGTATGACCACAATTAATGGGAAGGCAGAAAGAGCCCAAGAACTTGTGAAAGCAGCTTTATTGTTCTGTTTTCATTTAAAAAGCAGAAGGCTCATGCTGCTGATGGATTCCAATACTATTGGGGACATAATGCAAGTATTTATCCAAAAGACAATTAGTCTGTTTCCAAACTTGATCAGAGTCCCACACCCCCTTCCCGCCAACAAAAACACCCCACATACAATGAATACAACTCTGGTTACCAAAAAACCCTCAGATCCGCAGGCCCCAAACACACAATAGATCTTTCATAAACTGGGTCTGTAGGACACAAGAAGCACAAAGTGGGCAGGTGAGAAGAGTTAAGTAGGTCCACAGGACTAGTCCTAATGCACTTTTCCTTCCCCACGCTGACTCCTAACACCCTCACCCCATGTCTAACACTCCACCTGAAATAACCAAACCACTGCAGACCCCTGTTGAGACAAATCAATAGAGAAGGAAAGCCACATTGTTACACCCACCAAATTTGAAAGCTGAATGTATGTGGAGATGTGGGTGAGTGGTATTCAATGGAGGAAGAGAAGCAGAAGACCAGAAGCTAATCTCTGATCCAGGACCATTTCAAAGATCTATGAAGTTGTCTTCGCTGAGGGCTTTTTAAAAGTTTTAAGTCTTTCCTTTAAGTCAGCAGTATCAGATCACAAAATCCTTAACCTTGTGGCTGATATGAACATACACATCCCAGGCAACTCTCAACTGCAAGAGCTGGAATCTGGTACCTTCCAGTGACAGGAAAGACACAAGACTATTCCACAGCCTAGGACGGGGTGGGGGCGGTGGTTCTGGAGAAAAGAGAGCAGAGGGTGGGGGCCAGAACTGAGACAAAGAGAAGAGAGCCGCAGGGATTTTCTAGAAGGCACAAGCAGCACAAGCAGCCAGCCAACAGGTTGCCCTTATTGCAGAAGCCACACAAACCAGTTTGTAACAGCTCTGAATCTTGTTCTCTCACCACCCACTGAAACCCAGGTATTTAAAAACACCTCAGGATTTAGGCCTCGGTCAACTTCTCTATCCATAAGAAAAACTTATCTGTGCACACGAAAAAAAAAAATCTGCGGAGAAAGAGGAAACTACATAAGACACCTATCTACTGCAGTTTACTGATGATGTGGGTGGTAACGCTTTAAAAGCTCAGATTGGAAGTGAAGGGGAGGGGAGAAAAAGAAACCACAGAGCTCAGAGCTCTGCCGTTTCCGCAGAACAACTGTCAACGCTTTTAAAGGGCACGGCTGGTTCTCAGCCGCAAAACACTGAGGCTGGCAGGGCACCTGGAGCGGGGCGCCCCAAAACACAGGCTTCTCGACCACCACTCCAGACACGCCGCTCCCTCCCTCCACCCCTCGTTCCCCCCTCACGTCCAAGTCGCGGAGGAACGGGACACCAATGAGGCAGGTGGGGAGCGCGAGGGCAGGGCGACCGCCGGGGGCTTTCCTTGCCCAGCAAACACCAGCCGGAGGGAAGGCTGGAAAGTGAAGGCAAAAACAGCACAAAAGAAAAAAAGACACGTTACCTTGTTCATCCCATTCCCCATGGTGGCTGAATGCGAACTCTAGCACCCCTGACAATGAGGTCGCAGATTCCCTAATGGCGTGCTACAACCGGAGGAGGAGCAGCGGGTGGGGCGGCAGGGGAGGAGGCGCAGGGAATTTCGTGCTCCAGTATCAACAACAACAACAATGGTAGTCAGGGGCGTCCGGGCGACTCAGCGTGTTCCAGGGACCAGGCACGGACGAGGGTTAAGCCCGTCTGTCCCGGACTTCCCGGCTCGAGCCCGGCACAGACAGCAGGGTCCCGGGCGGGAAAGGGCCTCGCCTGTCCCCGTACGGCCCGCGTGAGTCCGGCGCGCCCCTCCCCAGCCAGCTCCCTGGGACTTGTAGTGGGGCTCCCGGGGCCGCGCCCGCGCCCGCGCCGCGCGAACCCCCGCTGCTCGCTGCCGAGCAGGGGCAGAGGGGGAGCGGACCACGGGTACCCCGCAGCAGGGCGAGGGGCAAGGTGGAGGACCAGGGATCGTGGGTGGCCGCGCCCAGGGCAGGGGGCTGCGGCCGCGGCTCGGAGACGGCCGCGCCTCCCCCGCGGCCGGGACGGTGGCCGAGAGCGCAAGCGCCGCGCGAGCCGCCC